ATGAAGCGAGACCTAGCGGGGGGGGGGGGGGCGGGGGTAGAAATTGCCTAAGCTACTCTATCCCTTTGAGATGTAGTTCTTTCTTGCCTCAATAAACATACTTGAAGCGAGACCGTCGCTCTACCGTCCACCCCAAGTGGTTGGAGATGAAACAGAATTACCCGAAGTAGTCGACACCGCTCAAGACCATAATTAAGAAACTGTTAATTACCTGTTCAACGAAGACTGCCGTCGGGTGCTGGTCGTCGCGGGCCCAAGCCGTCGCCGACAACACAATCAGCAATCCGGACGATGCCATAGAGAGAATAGCCACGCACATGAAACTAACCACATACACATGTGCGTATGGGCGCCGGGAGGCGCACACGCCCAAAAACCCACACAGGCCCACCACGGCGCCCGCCCACAGGCCGCCCCCGAGGGCGGAGAGGGCGGCACGGAGGATGAGTGCCGCCGCCCCTAGTGCCACCATCAACGTGGCTAGCAGCAGCTTCAGCAGGGCCAAGGACAGTGCCAGCTTGGATGGGAAGAAGTGGCCCTGGGGGTCGACGGCATCGGTGGTGCCAGACACGGAGCGAAGGGAGCGCCAGGTCAGGCCGGTGCCTCGGGTGGTGCCACGGCTGCTGGTGCCACGCCCACCGCCACGGCTGCTAGTGCCACCACGCCCACCCAGTAACACGTCTCTTAACGACCCGCCGCCTGCACTTACGCCCATTACGACACTTGTGTCACGACTCTGGCACTGTCACGACCCTGGCACTGTCACGATCCTGGCACTGTAACGACACTGGCCCTGTCACGACTCTGGCACTGTCACGACTCTGGCACTGTCACGACTCTGGCACTGTCACGATCCTTGGCACTGTCACGACTCTGGCACTGTCACGACTCTTGGCACTGTAACGACCCTGGCACTGTCACGATTCTGGCACTGTCACGATCCTGGCACTGTCACGATCCTGGCACTGTCACGGCCCTGGCACTGTCACGGCCCTGGTACTTTCACGACTCTGGCACTGTCACGGCCCTTTCACGACTCTGGCACTGTCACGGCACTTTCACGGCCCTGGCACTTTCACGACTCTGGCACTGTCACGACTCTGGCACTGTCACGGCCCTGGCACTGTCACGGCCCTGGCACTTTCACGACTCTGGCACTGTCACGGCCCTAGCACTTTCACGACTCTGGCACTGTCACGGCCCTGGCACTGTCACGGCCCTGGCACTTTTACGACTCTGGCACTGTCACAACCTTGGCACTGTCACGACCCTGGCACTGTCACTCACGACCCCTGTCACTGTCACGACTCTGGCACTGTCACGGCCCTGGCACTGTCACTATCCTGGCACTGCCACGACCCTTGGCACTGTCACGACCCTTGGCACTATCACGATCCTGGCACTGTCACAACAGAGCCAAATCACCACTTAATAATATATAATATTCACCAAACAGTTTTCTAAGCACCATAGACAGTCACAAACCATCCTACAACACAATATTCATCACTGCAAACAAATTTCCAAAACATATCAAAATTCCCGTCTCAAAAGTCTGCTTTGCACTGCCAAAATAAACAGAGAGAGACAGGTCCAGTCAAGGTTCCCGGAGCGCGAGGCGACACACCCTCCCTCACCAACGGCTCAGCAGACACTGCCGCCTCCAACACCTATTGCCAATGGCCACCAGATAGTTTGGAGGGAAAAATCCAATTCCTATAATTTAACGCCTATATTTTGCCTTAAGGCTTGGCATTTAAATGTTTAAATTCATATACAAATCTGATCTCATACGAAACAGTAAAGGCGATGAAATGAGTTTGTGAAGTAAATAATTCTAATTAATGATTACTATGAGGTCAGTCATGAGGTCAGTCATGAGGCCATGAAGTCAGTCATGACTCTATGAGGTCAGTCATGAGGCCATGAAGTCAGTCATGACTCTATGAGGTCAGTCATGAGGCTATGAAGTCAGTCATGAGGCTATGAAGTCAATCATGAGACAATGAAATCAATCATGAGGCTATGAAGTCAGTCATGAGGCTATGAAATCAATCATGAGGCTATGAAGTCAGTCATGAGGCTATGAATTCAGTCATGAGGCTATGAAGTCAATCATGAGGCTACTTAGAATACTTCTTCCAAACTTCTTAATAAAAATGAGATATCCCACAAGAATGTCAAAAGAATAATGGCATTCAAGAACAGTTTGAAACACACTGATACCTTCTCTCTACCCAAACACAAGCCTCTTAAATCAAATCTCTAGACGCCATTTATTTCTATATATATTTTTCACCTTTCGTGGACAAATCGCTAAAATGAAAATATTATCTCAAAACGTATATTGACGAGTTTGTAAATGTTAACTATAGTATTGCTTATCTGTTCACTGATTGATAACGCTTGAATCAACGTATATTTGAGGTAATTTAATGAGAGAGAGAGACAGAGCATTCGGCTACTTTCTCAAGGTGTGTGCAGAGTGCCTGATAAGAGTGCCTGGTCGGCCACGTAAGATTAAAACACTTTCCCTTTGTACTTTCTCCCGCCTCTGCTTATTCAATTCACCTTCCGGACCGACAACGCTATGAAACCGGTTTACAGCCTCGCGTCTGAGGGTAGCGTCTGAGAGCAGCGTCTGAGAGCAGCGTCTGAGTGTAGCGTCTGAGAGCAGCGTCTGAGGGTAGCGTCTGAGAGCAGCGTCTGAGGGTAGCGTCTGAGAGTAGCGTCTGAGGGTAGCGTCTGAGGGTAGCGTCTGAGAGCAGCGTCTGAGAGCAGCGTCTGAGGGTAGCGTCTGAGAGTAGCGTCTGAGGGTAGCGTCTGAGGGTAGCGTCTGAGAGCAGCGTCTGAGGGTAGCGTCTGAGGGTAGCGTCTCAAAGCAGCGTCTGAGAGCAGCGTCTGAGGGTAGCGTCTGAGAGCAGCGTCTGAGGGTAGCGTCTGAGAGCAGCGTCTGAGAGCAGCGTCTGAAAGCAGCGTCTGAGAGCTGCGTCTGAGGGTAGCGTCTGAGGGTAGCGTCTGAGAGCAGCGTCTGAGGGTAGCGTCTGAGAGTAGCGTCTGAGAGCAGCGTCTGAGGGTAGCGTCTGAGAGTAGCGTCTGAGGGTAGCGTCTGAGGGTAGCGTCTGAGAGCAGCGTCTGAGAGCAGCGTCTGAGGGTAGCGTCTGAGGGTAGCGTCTGAGGGTAGCGTCTGAGAGCAGCGTCTGAGGGTAGCGTCTGAGGGTAGCGTCTGAGGGTAGCGTCTCAAAGCAGCGTCTGAGAGCAGCGTCTGAGGGTAGCGTCTGAGAGCAGCGTCTGAGGGTAGCGTCTGAGAGCAGCGTCTGAGAGCAGCGTCTGAAAGCAGCGTCTGAGAGCTGCGTCTGAGGGTAGCGTCTGAGGGTAGCGTCTGAGAGCAGCGTCTGAGAGCAGCGTCTAAGGGTAGCGTCTGAGAGCAGCGTCTGAGAGCAGCGTCTGAGGGTAGCGTCTGAGAGCAGCGTCTGAGAGCAGCGTCTGAGGGTAGCGTCTGAGGGTAGCGTCTGAGAGCAGCGTCTCAGGGTAGCGTCTGAGAGCAGCGTCTGAGAGCAGCGTCTGAGAGCAGCGTCTGAGGGCAGCGTCTGAGGGCAGCGTCTGAGAGCAGCGTCTGAGAGCAGCGTCTGAGAGCAGCATCTGAGGGTAGCGTCTGAGAGCAGCGTCTGAGAGCAGCGTCTGAGAGCAGCGTCTGAGAGCAGCGTCTGAGAGCAGCGTCTGAGGGCAGCGTCTGAGGACAGCGTCTGAGAGCAGCGTCTGAGGGTAGCGTCTGAGGGTAGCGTCTGAGGGTAGCGTCTGAGGGTAGCGTCTGAGAGCAGCGTCTGAGAGCAGCGTCTGAGAGTAGCATCTGAGAGCAGCGTCTGAGAGCAGCGTCTGAGAGCAGCGTCTGAGGGCAGCGTCTGAGGACAGCGTCTGAGAGCAGCGTCTGAGAGCAGCGTCTGAGGGTAGCGTCTGAGGGTAGCGTCTGAGGGTAGCGTCTGAGGGTAGCGTCTGAGGGTAGCGTCTGAGGGTAGCGTCTGAGAGCAGCGTCTGAGAGCAGCGTCTGAGAGCAGCGTCTGAGAGCAGCGTCTGAGGGCAGCGTCTGAGGACAGCGTCTGAGAGCAGCGTCTGAGAGCAGCGTCAGAGAGCAGCGTCTGAGAGCAGCGTCTGAGAGCAGCGTCTGAGAGCGGCATCTGAGAGCAGCGTCTGAGAGCAACATCTGAGAGCAATATCTGAGAGCAACATCTGAGAGCAGCGTCTGAGAGCAACATCTGAGAGCAATATCTGAGAGCAACATCTGAGAGCAGCATAAGAGAGCAGCGTCTGAGGCACAGCATCTGAAGATACAGCTTCAACATGAAGAAGTGGTGGTACCATACCTTTTGTAGAACCAAAGAGTAGAAAGTATCTTGGGGAAAATACTGACCATTCAGGTTAATTCAGGTAAAAAAAATGATGAAATTCAGGTTCAAAATGTGTGAACTCACCCTGGAATCAGATACAAACTTCTGCTATTGTATTTATTCCCAATCCTGACAACTGTTCAAGTAGCCTTAAGGAGTCTATACAAGGAAGCGATCAGAATGCTGTGCTTCAACTTCGGTCTTTAGTGTACCCTAAAATTGAAGAAAATTAACCTACAAGATCATAGAAAACGACAAAACTTGTGCCAGAACTGGGGAAACTCAATTATAATTAACGTGGCAGGAGTTGTACCACTGGACCAACAGTGACAGGAGCTGTACCACTGGACCAGCAGTGACAGGAGCTGTACCACTGGGCCAACAGTGGCAGCGGGTGAGATGACATTAACTTGAGATATGACATCATCTCACCCGACTGTGCGGGAAAAAAGTTTTTAGATCACCTCACCCCCAAGTTAAGCACACCCCTCCCCCTCACTCCCCAGAGAGCCCCACCTCTCCCCTAACCCCCCAGAGAGTCCCACCCCCGCCCCAGAGAGGCGAGGGGGGGCTGTGCTGCCCCACAAGTGAGGACAAGTACTGGCTTTACCGCCACTGGCGCCGGACCGGTGTCGACATCCGCCCGCCGTGATGTACTCGTCTCTCTGGAGTTTGAGGTGACAGGTTGACACGGAAAGTGTGCCATGATGACTTGGAATGGTTGGTGGTTGTGCGTGGCGGCGGTGAGCCAGTGTGTGGTGGGACTGATTATTGTGATGGTGGCAGTGCCACTGGTGGTGCCAGTGCTGGCGGTGCTGTGGGTGTGGCGGTGTGTGGTGATGATGGTGGTGCAAGGCATCCACGGAGGTGGCGTCTACGCCGCGTCGGGGATGGATGCGCTGTTCGCCCTGGATTCGACAGGTGCGCGGGCGGCGATCTGCGGAGTCGCGGTGCTGCGCGGACAGGTAAGCGTCGCTACGGTCAGGAATCGCCTAGCTGCGCGGATTACGGAGGTTCAGGACACCCGCGGACGCTTCGTACACGCAAAGTTCCGCCAAGTGGTGGAGAAGCGGTGCGGTGTGGTGGTGTGGCTACCGGAGACGAACTTCCACATTAACAACCACGTGAGGGAGCTGCACCAGCGACTCCTCGACGACGAGGACGACATGCTGAGGGAAATGAGCGCCAGAGTCAACCTGCCATTCGTGCCCGGACAGTCTAAGTGGGAAGTGCTGGTGGCGCCACTGAGGAACCCTGCCACTGACAAGTGCTGCGAGTGGACACACACGGCTGTTATCGTCAGGTTCCACCACACCCTAGGAGACGGCCGGTCTGTAATGAGGCTGATATCAACTCTGGTTGATCCTCCACCATCGGATATCCTGCCTCATCCTGCCACCAGCTCCTGCAGCAGGGCATCCCGCGCTGCACACCTGCTGTGGTCGCTGACCCACGTGCCCTGGGTGCTGCTCAGGCTGCTGAAGAGAACTGACGCCTCAGCCCTCCACGGCCCCAGGCTTTCCGGGACTAAATTCCTCGTCTGGTCTCCGCCTCTCTCTCTCGCGGCACTCAAAACTGGACGAGCTCTCGCCGGCGTCTCCGTCAACGACCTCCTCCTGGCGGGCCTGGCAGCGGCACTCTGCAGGTACTCGCCTTCACACGGTACAGCGACGGTCTCGCTTCATGCAGGTCCGCGTTCAATCCTACGGGTTGATCTACGATGCCACATCGTCGACAATCTCAGTATGACATATTTTCCTCACTATTTCACCTATCCGGCCCTCATTACATAATCTATCCGGCCTCAGGACACAGTTTCAGGGTGCTTCTCTTCATCCTCACTGACATCCTGTTATCGCTACGGATATGACATGGAATATGTTTAACATTTACACATAAGCTCCTCATATGTGTGAGCTTGTATTATGCTCACTCAAGCTCACACAACATATTTACTTCGTTCGCGGCGTTAACAAGTTCATTACAAACTCGATGAGGTCGTCTCACTATCTTTCTTATCTCAGTCTTTGCCTACACCATCAGCCAGGCGTGTATGGTGAAGATTGAGTGTAGTGTAAGATACGCATGTGGAGTGAATATGAAGGTAGTGACTCCCATGTGTAGCTAGGGATTATGTGGAATGAGGGTTCATGTATAGTGAGCCTCATGTGAAGTCAATATGTGGTTTGACTCAATTTTGTTGTAGTGTTTTCAGAACACCTGATATCAGATATCACTGCTTGAGGTGGTTATCTCCGGGCCCTGATATATTAGTGTTTTCAGGTGTGATACCTGGAAATCTGGTATCACACCTGGAGTGTCAGGTGTGATATCTGACACTCCAGTGTCAGGTATCTAGCAAATGCCCTGCTGGTTCCTAGGAGTTCAGATATCACTGCTTGACGTGGTTATCTCAGGGCCCCGATATATTAGACGAACTGAATGACGACGTATCATTCATACGACGGTAGGCTAATTCTCTCTCTCTCTTTCTCTCGAGATAATAAGAATTGAGCGCGAGACTAGGGGCCACATCTTGTAGTTAACTAGAGACAAACACGGTCACTTTGGAACCGTATTCCTCATTCACGGGTTCGCCATAGCCCGTGCTGCTTGGAACTTTTTGTTCCAGGTAGCAAATCTTAAACAACAAACATTATTCCTCATTTTTCCTTCAGCTAGTGTTGTTGTTGTTGTTAAAGATTTAGCTACTCAGAACGAAGTGTCCATGTAGCACGGGCTATGGTGAGCCCGTAATTCAGCTTGTCGTAGAAGAGGTCCAATGCCTCTTGTGGGTGTATCGAGCAGTCTGTCCTCCTAATAGGGCGTCGCATTTCGACGTATATTCCCTACCTACGGGCAAAAAATGTCGTAGTAGGAAATGCTAACGGTTCGCGAAACTGACATATTGTCCCGTTTTCTGTTTTGGGTCCTCTGGTAGGTTAGGATAGGGGGCACTTTAGTACGATAGTTTCTTGACGTTGGGGAATTGACGTTACTGCTAAGCGTGCGAAGTACTGCTAAATTTGAAGTACTTTTCATAAGGGAACAAAAACCTAAGGATGTAATAATGTTGAATTATGAAGTCCTACACTAAGCCAGATATATAATTAAGGGGATGAGTGATGAGCAGAGAATGGTCCAGGACGGACCAAAACGACGACGTTTCGGTCCGTCCTGGACCAATATTAAGTCACACGGCTTATCAACATCCTGGACGTTTCGGTCCGTCCTGGACCGAAACGTCGTCGTTTCCCCATATTCTGATGTGTACTTTGGTCATGATGATATGTATATAATATAAAATGGGCCAAGAACCCCCACTGTGAGAGAGGTTACAAAGACGACACCGCCTTCTGCAGGTACTTCACGGAGGAGGCGAGGGAGGTGCACCCCCAGGTGATCACCGTGGTACCTGTGGACCTAACTCCTCCTGGTACCCCGCTCGTCCTCACCAACCACTTCTCCTTGTGCACCGTACCGCTGCCCACCTGTGAGTACCAGTACACCGTCACTGTACCTGTGAGTACCAGTACACCGTCACTGTACCTGTGAGTACCAGAGCACCGTCACTGTACCTGTGAGTACTGGTATAGAAATATATAATGTGTATAACTCTCTACATCCTGCAGGTGCGATGAGCAAAAGGAGTCGCCTGATGACGGTCCACCGACGCCTGGAGGTACTCAAGCATTCCCCGGACGTCATGGTTAACTTCCTGGTACTGGATCTGGTGGCTAACCTCCTCCCGGCGCCGCTGGCCCGTCGGGCCCTGGCTACCCACGGGGTCACTATGGTGGCCTCCAATATGCCCGGTCAGTTGGGCATCGACGCCCCTCCCCTGTGTTTCTTTGTACAGCCGTCGACCATTTGACTCAGACGAAAGAGTAATCCAAATAACTGTTTCCTAGCAGTAAAATAGGTACCTGGGTGTTAGTCAGCTGTCATGGGCTGCTTCCTGGGGGTGGAGCAGTAAAATAGGTACCTGGGTGTTAGTCAGCTGTCACGGGCTGCTTCCTGGGGGTGGAGCAGTAAAATAGGTACCTGGGTGTTAGTCAGCTGTCATGGGCTGCTTCCTGGGGGTGGAGCAGTAAAATAGGTACCTGGGTGTTAGTCAGCTGTCACGGGCTGCTTCCTGGGGGTGGAGCAGTAAAATAGGTACCTGGATGTTAGTCAGCTGTCACGGGCTGCTTCCTGGGGTTGGAGCAGTAAAATAGGTACCTGGATGTTAGTCAGCTGTCACGGGCTGCTTGCTTCCTGGGGGGTGGAGACCTGGTCGAGGACCGGGCCGCGGGGACACTAAAAAGCCCCGAAATCATCTCAATATAACTTTCCGTGTCAGCAAATAAACTCATTCCTCAGCCTCTCACAAGAGTTAAGTTGCTGACCGACTATCGATCGGCCTCTGAGCTGGTCAGAGAGGGGGTATATATGTAGCCACTGGCAGCTAGCTACATCCCCCATGACCAGGCATTTGTGGGGCTTTGTGGCGAACTGGAATGTGTCTTAACGGCCCCCACTCTGGTATTTATATGGCTGCTCCAAGAGCTAGAATGTTCATAAGTAACATTTTTGTAAGCAGACGAGGAGTCACATGGCTGAAATAGGTTGACCAGACCACACACTAGAAACTGAAGGGACGACGACGTTTCGGTCCGTCCTGGAACATTCTCAAGTCGAAATGTCGTTGTCCCTTCACTTTCTAGTGTGTGGTTTGGTCAACATTTTTTTTTTAACTTCTGTTTTTTGGACTGGACGGTAGAGCGACGGTTTTGCTTCTTGTAGGTCGTCGTTCAATCCCCGACCGTCCAAGTGGTTGAGCACTTGTGATGGAGAAAGTAATCTCCCACTTATTGATTAAGTGTAAAGTGTAATTATCCTCTTGTCCGTGCAAACTAAAATTTACAATAACGTGATAATAAACATGAAAAATTTTCATTTTTTACGAATGTAAAGGAAATTATATACTCTTTCCTCTGCTGTTTTGTGATATATATATATATATATATATATATATATATATATATATATATATATATATATATATATATATATATATATATATATATATATATAACACCTTTTTGTAATCTTGCTATTTGCTATATCCATTCTCCACATTCTTGCTATATCATTCTCCACAATTCAAATTTCCTCTTATTAAAATATGAATTCATATTTTTTTATCTTTTTTATATTTTTATGCTAATTACAATATCCCAAATAACTCCCAAAGTTACATTTAATTCCTTTTTTTTTTAAATTAAAATGATATCGTAGCTTTTCAATTACACGTATTTCTTAGGTCCTTCGAACCAGATCCAGATGTTTGGGGAGGTTGTTGAAGACTTAATGTTTTGGATTCCTAACAAAAGCAGAACAGGTAAGAGATACCCCGTAAGTAATGATTACAATAATTCCCTATAATAATTAAAATTCTAATCATAATTCTGATATAAAATATATACAGTAATGATCATTTTTAATCATAATTCTGATAAAAGAAATATTAACGTTAATGATCATTTTAATAACAGTAACAATAATTTAAAATGGAAATCGTAACAATAATTGTGGTGTGTGTGTGTGTGTGTGTGTGTTATATGAGAAAACCAGGTGTGTCTTATCCTGCTTGTTTCAGGATGTTCGTTGTTACCTGGTATGTTATGGTATAACATCTATGCCCAACTACTTGGGCTGGACGGTAGAGCGACGGTCTCGTTTCACGCAGGGCGATGTTCAATCCCCCTCGACCGTCCACAAGTGGTTGGGCACCATTCCTTCCTCCCACCGTCCCATCCCAAATGCTTATCCTGTCCCCTTGCAAACGCTATATAGTCGTAATGCCTTGGCGCTTTCTCCTGATATTTCTTTCCCTGCAGGTCTCGGGGTATCCATGCTGAGCTATCGGGGCTCCGTCCGCTTGGGGCTCAACGTGGACTCAGCGCTCATACCTTCCAAGACTCTGGCTAGTCAGCTGATGGAACACACAACAGCCGAAGTCAGCGCCATCCTGGCGGAGCTGGCGAACTCTGAGATCAAGTCAGAGGAGATTCATCTCCCTGAAGGTGGAGAAAGCTACAGCAGCATCAGCATCGGCGGGATATCGGAGGTGGTGGCGACGCACAGCACGGACGAGTACGATGACGACGGAGCTGGCGTCGGGTCCTTCAGCTACTTCGAAATGCGCGGCAGTTCCGACAGAAGGACGATTGACAACTCAGTCACGTCCTTTGAAAACGAAGTCCTCTGTCCTTCCGAAGACCAATACTTATTAGGAAGAGTTTCGCGAAGCAGCGCGTCTCGCTCGCCAAGGAGCGACTTGGAATTAGAAAAGGCTTTCCACGAAATCAAACGTCACAAGTTTGAGCTGAGTGACATACACCTGGAAATCTCAGACGATAATCAGATTGAAGACAGATGAGACGAGTTTCAAGTAACCAAAAACAGCCCCCCAAAGCAAAACATATTTTAAGAATATATTCTTGTACGACAATTTTGACAATTTAAGAGGTAAGCAACCATGGCAATGACCCCTAAACACTATGAAGACAATACAAAGATAAAACGGAAGAAAAGGAGGTGGAATCGAGGTCTGTTTAAACTGCTTAATAACGGTATAATAATGGAGTCAAATTGACCAGACCACACACTAGAAGGTGAAGGGACGACGACGTTTCGGTCCGTCCTGGACCATTCTCAAGTCACAATCGACTTGAGAATGATCTTGAGAATAGTCACAATCGACTTGAGAATGGTCACAATCTACTTGAGAATAGTCACAATCGACTTGAAAATAATCACAATCGACTTGAGAATAGTCACAATCTACTTGAAAATAGTCACAATCGACTTGAGAATGGTCCAGGACAGACCGAAACGTCGTCGTCCCTTCACCTTCTAGTGTGTGGTCTGGTCAACATACTTTAGCCACGTTATTGTGACTCGTCGCCTGCAAATGGAATCAAGGAATCCATATAATCACCACACCTTAACAGTTGTATACAATAGAAATAACAGTAGAAGATAAAAAGGAGACCAGGATATAGAAAGAGAAGAAAGGAAGGATGAAGCAGGAAAGGAAGAAAGGGTAAACAATATTAAAGAATATAAAACTAAAAATCCATTCGAAGATTTTTTTCCAGCTGAAAGTAGCCTAATACACCGTCCTCAAAATGCTATATAAAACCATTAACAAAACGGCTAAAAAAATGCTTCATCAAAGAGGCTGTCGAAGACACCTAAAACCTCTTTAAAGAAGCAAAAAAAAAAAATAAGATTTACAATCAGACTAATAGGCTATAACTCATTAGATTTTGATCAAAATCTATCCTTACAAACTTTGCTCAAAATCTCAGAAAGGCTAATAATACGCGAGAAATATATGCAAGGCTTATCCCTGGAAACACAAACCGAAACTATCTCTATTTTCCGCTTGTTACAATTTGTAATAAAGTTGTTACATCTTGGCTTAACGTGTTTATGACGTATTAGAACGTTGTTACAACTTGCTATATTGGTTGTTATAACTGGTTAGGTGGTGTTAAAACTTGTTCGAACGTTGTACCAACGTCGTAGTTTCGGTGTGTTTGGCGGGATTGGGTCTAGCTCCACTACAATAAATTTCTTATATACTGATTCGTGTTGTTACTGGAAAATTGGAATGCAAAGTCAGGTGTTCGACTTTCCGGGTTGTTTGATTCTTTCCAGTGAATAAGGTAATTTAACATTTCATTCACTTGGGCAATTGAAGCCTTGAACGACATACCACAAAAGCGAAAGACTGTAGTTCCAATAGCACTCACAGGATGAGTATAGGGGTCCAATACCACTCCCAGGATGAGTATAGGGGTCCAATACCACTCACAGGATGAGTATAGGGTCCACTACCATTCACAGGATGAGTATAGGGTCCAATACCACTCACAGGATGAGTATAGGGGTCCCATACCACTCACAGGATGAGTATAGGGGTCCAATACCACTCACAGGATGAGTATAGGGGTCCCATACCACTCACAGGATGAGTATAGGGGTTCAATACCACTCACAGGATGAGTATAGGGGTCCAATACCACTCACAGGATGAGTATAGGGGTCCCATACCACTCACAGGATGAGTATAGGGGTCCAATACCACTCACAGGATGAGTATAGGGGTCCCATACCACTCACAGGATGAGTATTGGGGTCCAATACCACTCACAGGATGAGTATTGGGTCCAATACCACTCACAGGATGAGTATAGAGGTCCAATACCACTCACAGGATGAGTATAGGGGTCCAATACCACTCACAGGATGAGTATAGGGGTTCAATACCACTCACAGGATGAGTATAGGGGTCCAATACCACTCACAGGATGAGTATAGGGGTCCAATACCACTCACAGGATGAGTATAGGGGTCACTACCACTCACAGGATGAGTATAGGGTCCACTACCACTCACAGGATGAGTATAGGGTCCACTACGTTAATCTTGAACATGTTTCAAAAGTAAAGCCTCAATGGTCCATTGCTGAAACACGATAAACCTTTTAGTGTATATCTCATATTACTATATTTCCAGCATACACAATCTATATTTCAATTAATTTGTGTCAATTTTAGTAACAGGTTTAAGTATAGTATACTAACAGTCAGTTTCTCGCTATAGTGTTGCATATATATATATATATATATATATATATATATATATATATATATATATATATATATATATATATATATATATATATATATATATATATATATATATATATATATATATATATATATATATATATATATATATATATATATATATATATATATATATATATATATATATATATATATATACTGCTCACTCTTGCTGTATATATCTTATCATATTTGGCTTTAAATCTGTGAATATAAATCGAATAATTACGATCTTCATATAACCAGCTATATAAATTAACACCTATTATGGTAAGCAAATATTTATTTCATCATTTTGGCCTTTCCGTTCCCAATTTACATTAGTTACTCTTCATCTCACTATTACCCAATTTAAAACTTCACCTTTGTTGTTGACTTTGTTCATATACCAGAGTGGGTAGACGAGGAGTCACAATAACGTGGTTGAAATATGTTGACCAGAACACACACTAGAAAGTGAAGGGACGACGACATTTCGGTCCGTCCTGGACCATTCTCAATCGACTTGAGAATGGTCCAGGACGGACCGAAACGTCGTCGTCCCTTCACCTTCTAATGTGTGGTCTGGTCAACTTGAGTGGGTACCTTGCCTGACTCGGGTGACGCTACAGGCAGGCTTCATCACTGTAACCATTTGTACTTTGACTTAAAGGGGAAAAAAGTAGTGATTCAAATGAATAAATCTCTGGTTCGCCTCCCCTCACTTGGATTATTATATCAAAGCATGGAATGCTCTTCTTCAGAAGGTCGGAGCTGCATTGGAGAAAGTTCAAGAGCGAGCAACCAAAAATAATAATATAAATAATATAATAATAATAATTTTTATTTAGGTAAAGGTACATACATAAAGAGATTTTACAAAGTTTGTTGGCTTTATAGATAGAGCTAGTACATACAATGCCTAAAGCCACTATTACGCAAAGCGTTTCGGGCTTTCGAAATCATTTCAGAACTCAGTTAACTCTCCTATCAGGAACGGTTGAGAGCCACAGGGCTAATAACATTTCAAACCAGGCATGACAGAGCCGATCTCATCTAAACCTCTAAAATAATTAACAAATTAGAGGATGTTGACCAGACCACACACTAGAAAGTGAAGGGACGACGACGTTTCGGTCCATCCTGGACTATTCTCAAATCGACTTGAGAATGGTACAGGACGGACCGAAACGTCGTCGTCCCTTCACCTTCTAGTGTGTGGTCTGGTCAACATACTTTAGCCACGTTATTGTGACTCATCGCCTGCAAATTAGAGGATGTTGATCCGTTCAATTTCTTCAAAAGATAAGATATAACACAAATAAGGACCAATTTTATCGAGCTCAACAAACCATAATATAGGACAGAAAACGGGAAATGCATTTTCACCCACAAGGTTATAAACCCATGGAACCGCCTACCCGCCGAAGCCGTTAATAGCAAAACTGTTGAATTTTAAAATCAACTAGAAAGAAATAACCAGGACAAATGGAGGGGACCTTTTGACAAGCTGCCGGCTTCCTGTCCTCGTCAAGGTCAATAGAGTGTTAGTGGTTGTAAGGTCAATTCTGAATTAAACAATGAATTAAATTCGGGTGAAGACAATGAAAACATTTTATAAATGTTTAGGAACAAGTCAATACGTACGTGTCCGTTTTCTATTTATAAAGCATTATAGAGAACGGCAGTGCTTTAATGGGAAACTTTCATAAAATTTAGATTTTCACTACATATTATTATTATTATTTCTACAATAAATATACTACTACTAATAATAATACCAACAATTGTTGTTGTTTGCAATAAAGATATAATAGATGACGTCATAATCATTTTAATGTTTTGGGCTTGTTTTATAAAAAATTAAGTAATTATTGAGAGACTTGAGTCAAGAACGTGAGACGGAGGGGAGGTTCCTCAAATGTACCTCACCTCACCTCACTCAAATGTAGACATAAACAAATCGAAGATGTGTAAGTTCTATTCAGTTGTGTATGTGTAAGCTAAAGTCTTTGAAAATGTAATAAGTTTTACGAAACGCGCTCAAGTGTCGCGTCAGACTAGAAATAAAAATGAATTTTGGAGAATTGATTTTTGAATTACCACCAACAGTGAAAAGAAACGTACGAAAGATCGAGAAAATTCGTGTTAGAATTATTAATCTTACTTTTTCGGTCATATTTAATATATATATATATATATATATATATATATATATATATATATATATATATATATATATATATATATATATATATATATATATATATATATATATATATATGACAATGTCAGACCACGGAGGAAAATGAAACAGGAATTTCCTTAAGTACTTTCGTATATTAAATACATTTTCAGAAGGAAGATGTATTGATTCCTTCTGAAGATGTATTTAATATACGAAAGTACTTAAGGAAATTCCTGTTTCATTTTCCTCCGTGGTCTGACATTGTCACATTCTTAATCACGTGTTTATTTTCGTGATATACACACATATATATATATATATTTCACCCATTTCAGTTTAATGGTTATCAAAATACCAATGTAAGTAACTACTGTAATCTGATTATCTAAATTTTTGATATAGAAATAAAATATTATCAGTGATGGAAAGTTTTAGTCACATTAATGAGCTCAGGAACTCGACCCCATTCCTGTATAGACTAAGTAGTTGACATTTAGAGTATATTTGTTAGTTTTAATTTACTTCATGTCTCTGTTAAAATTACCTGAATTTACCTGAGGGCTACTAATACTCTAGTGGCCTCGACGAGGACAGGAAGCCGGTGGCTTGTCAAAGCCTCCCCCCCCCCCCACATGTCCTGATGATTTTTTCAAGTAAGTAATTATCAAAAGAAGGCACCAAACCGGGAAGGCTATGTAGCACCATCAAATGTTCGGGATAATCAGAGGGCGCTAAATATCACCAAGGATGCCAATACGAGAACATAAACGCATGAGGCGAACGATATCAAAAGTATCCAATTCACC